TCCTGAGGAGGTTTCCTGTTTCCTGAGGAGGTTCTTTTGTATGTGGATTGGCTGCTGAAATTCTAATCTTATCTGTAGTGCTATTGTCAGATGTAGAGCCTTTTGTGTTTTTCAGGACAGGAAACCATGTGATATTTATTTTTAAACTCTATTCTTTTCTGTTGAAATAGTGTTTATGTTTATGAATTTCAATGGCTTCCCTGTGTAATCTGACATGGTAATTGGAAGTGTTGCCCAGCCTTTCACTGTCTTGGAACAAAATACTGTGTCCTGTTTGAGCTAAACTATGTTCAGCCACTGCTGATTTTTCAGGTTGGCCAAGTCTGCAGTGTCTTTCATGTTCTTTTATTCTTGTCTGAATGCTACACTGTGTGGTCCTGATGTAAACTTGTCCACAATTGCATGGTATGTGGTATACTCCTGCAGAAGTGAGGGAGTCTCTCCTGTCTTTTGCCGATCGTAGCATCTGTTGTATTTTTCTGGTGGGTCTGAATACTGTTTATAAGTTGTGTTTTTTCATAGGTTTTCCAATCAGATCAGTGATTCCTTTGATATATGGCAAAAACACTTTTCCGGTGGGAGACTGTTTTTCCTCAGTTGTTTGTTTTACCTTTGGTTTAATCGCTCTTCTGATTTCATTCTTGGAGTAGCCATTTGCTTGAAGTGTGTGATTGAGATGATTTAGTTCGTCACTGAGAAAGTGCGGTTCACATATCCGTCTTGCACGGTCTACTAATATTTTGATCGTGCCTCTTTTTTGCTGTGGGTGGTGATTGGCATTTTTGTGTAAATAACGGTCCATGGAGAAAGTAGAACTGATGTAAATAACGAGCCATGGAGAAGTAGAATTGATGGAGTTTTTAGACCACCTCAATGACATCTACCCCGACATACAATTCACCATGGAAAAAGAAGTCGAGGGTAAACTCCCATTTCTAGATATCATGGTCATCTGCAGAACTAACCTTCAATGAGGTCACAAGGTCTACAGAAAACCAACTCACATGGATCCAAAGTGGTTTACAACACTGTTCTCTGCTCCTCCATTTTATCCTGAGAAAGGCTGATTGGCCCTAGGTCACCCAGTGAGCTTCATAGCAAAGTGTGGATTCGAACCTCATAGATCCTAGCGTGATGCTCTAAACACTACAGCACATGGCTTGTACATTCTTTCAATGTTACTTGTTCAGAAAGTGTAATAAATACATTGTATACATTACACTGAAATATAAGGTAATTACTCCTTGAGTGTAGATTCTTAATGAAGCAATTGCTCTCGACTAGTCATTTCAGCATGCCCTCTATATACTCCAAGTTCTATTTTAAAGCTTTCCCTAATCTTCCCCTGCCCATTCTCACACTATCACTGAGCTTTCAGTTAAGTAATAAATAACACCTCTGAAAGGCTATAGCAATTACAAACCAGGTCTTAGCTGGAAAACTGTTTTAAAGCTGCTTCAAGCAAAAGTACTTAAATTGAGATATTGCCAGTTGATAAGATCTTTAGGGCTAAAGATCATAATTAGCCATAGCCACGATAAACATCCCAGGTATGCTTGGCAAATAAAAAGTCAATTTCTATAGCATTTGTGCACATTTGACCTGTGTGCTTCTGACTTTAAATAGAATGCAGAGTGCTTCTTCCACTAAATTTGTTAATACTTACGGCTACTTTTGATGCTCATGTGTCCTCTGAAAGGCCCCATCAATGAATATTTGGGGATCATGGCTAGCTGGGAGCCTTGAAGGGAAGAAAATGATGGCTGATGAACAGGAAATGTTAAAAATAATATTTTAATCATTTTGTTAATGGATAAGATTCATGACAACAGCACAGACTAATGAAATGTGTATGCATAGCTAGGGAATTCATAAATATCTACTATGGTACGGTTATGGTGACATCTGTTGTGAGTTAAGAATTAACTACACTTTAAGCCTCAGTTAAAGGGACAAGACATTCTCTCCAGGCCTGTTGGCAACTGGAACTATGAAATGGGGTCTACCTGGAATCTAGTCTTCATTGTGATAGGTGAGAAAAGCAATATGGCTGAAGAGTGTCAAAAGTACTAAAGACAACATCAACTTATCACAGAACCTTAGCACTTTCATGGCTTACGAACTGTGACCTTTTTCCTACCATGAACACATATAGCATTGCCAGCCTCAAGCTGGGGGCTGGAGGTCTCCAGGAATTACAACTGACCTCCAGACTACAGAGATCAGTTCCCCTGGAGGAAAGGGCAGCTTCAGAGGGTGGACTTTATGATACACTGTCTAGAACAGGCGAGGATCAACCTTTGTTCCATGCTAGCTAGCCATCTTTACCCCACCTAGGCAACTCAAGTTCTACTACAGGTAATTCTTACGTGCTCTCTTGGACGGCCGCCAAGAAGCCCACACGTGTTGGCTGGTTCCATCCATGTGAAGTAGAATCCCTTTAGCTAGATCTTTTGTTCCTGCATTCTTCATTGAGAAGTTCAGACTCCCTTCTGGATCAGATAAGTATAACCGTCACCCTTTTCAGTGTTTACCTCCAATTAGGTATTTTCCATACTGATTGCTTTCCATTTCTATTGTATCTAAAGGAACTTGTGAGTGTGAATCTGTTTTTGTATGCTTGTGAATTCACCTATTATTCAGTAAAGAGAACAACTTATCCTATAAACATCCAGTCGTGTTGTCTCTTTCTATGGGAAAAAGGAGTCTCTGTTCTGATTCTGCCCTCTGTATACACTGGTCAAAAGAACCCACAAGCCCCTGTCGTACATAAGACAGATTTGGGCTAAAGGATCTCCTAACGGGGATTTCTCCTAACAGCTACACTGCTACCTCTGCAGTCCACCTATGTGGGTTTCCCCCTGGAGGTGGCAACCCTATCTCCTTCCCAGCCAACCATCAATGTACCATTATCTACCCCTCTGACTTCAGGTTTCCATCTCCTTCCCATAACTGGAGCCTCTGCCTAGGAATAGTACAGTCTTTCTCCTCCTCAGTGAGGACCCAAGCAAGAGGGGAAGCGACCTCAACAGGGTATAATGACACAGAGTCCACTCTGCAGAGCAGCCATTTTTTCCAAGGGAGCTGATCTCTGCCATCAGGAGAGCAGTTTTAATTCTGAGTGATCTCCAGCCCTCACCTGGAGATTGGAAGCAATGCTTCCCCAGCAGGAAAAGTACAGTCCTTCTCCACAGTGGAGACCAAAGCAGCTTAGATCTTTCTCCTCTCCCCCTTTTGATCTGCACAATAACTCTGTGAGGTAGGTTAGGCTGAAAGTCTGTGACTGGTCCGACATCACCCATTCAACTTCCACAGCAAGAACCTGGGTCTGGCAGACCCTGCTCTGAAGTGATAACTGCTATGCCTAGGGTAGGTAACCTCCAGGTGGAAGCCAAAAATGAGAGATCACGGGAGGAATTGGAATACCAAAAACAACATCCGTAACTAAAATAACGAACAGTCATTAAAGATAAGTTGCAAAAATGTATACTGTAGTAATTATGTAGAAAATTTTCTTCTATAATTACTCATGCGATTATAGAAAAAAATTTTCTACAGAATTACTACAGTATATGTTTTTGCAACTTATCTTTATTGACTCTTCATTATTTTTGTCACGGATATTGTTTTTGGTATTCAACCTCCAGGTGGAGTCTGAAGATCACCAGGTATCACAACTGAATTCCAGACAACAGGTCTCTCTCCCCTGCCCCGTAGAAAATAAGTGCTTTGGAAGGTGGGTTCTATGGCATTCTGTTCAGCTGAGGCCTCTCCCCTCCCCAATCTCTGGCTTCTGTAGACTCCACCACAAAATATCCAGGAATTTCCCAACCTGGAGCTGGCAACCCTAGTCAGGACTGGCCCCAATGAGTTCCCCACAAAGGCCTGGAAAGGGCCTCCTGTCTTTGCCTTTTTACTGACAGAACCAAGTTTGGTTGCCTAGCAACAGCCACTGAGGGAAAAGTTAGTCCCACAGGAGCCAAGCAGGGAAAGTATCTTCATCAGGAGAGACAGCCATTTTGGCAGTTTATTCTGTGAGGGAAGAGTGTCCAGGCTAGCAGTGGGCGGGGGAGAGGAGTGGACCTAGCCCCCTGCCAATGGCATGTGAGTACTCTTGAGTGGTGGTTGATTGGCCAATGGCTGATGGAGTGCACAGCACAGCCAATGGGAGAGCTGGAAATGGCCAACACATTAGGGCACTTATATAGAGAGGATTTTGCTTCCACAAAACCAACTATGAAAGTATTAAAATATTGATATACATTTATAATGATCTGGAGTGCTTAAGTTTGGTGATTCAGTTTTCTGCATGCGATCCAAGAAAGGTGACCATATTTCCAAAAAAAGCAGATTGGAACAGAGGAGATTGTGAGATATGGAATTTTTAAAAGATATTTTATCCATAATTATATGATCCCAAATTTCCCCATACCATTGGGCTATTGTTGGGGTCATGTTGCTCTTCCAGTGCAAGGCAATCAAGGATTTGGCTGCTGAAAGTAAACTGTGCCAGTGGCTCCTGGGGCAGGGTGGGAGGGTTGGCCATGCCCAGTAATCAACTTAACCACAGTGATAGGATAGGCCAAGGAAGACGCAGCCACCTGCAACTGTGCAGAAGGCTCCTGGGCCTGAGCAGGGTGTGCGGGTTGGCTCTGCCATGCATTCACTTTGTCTGCGGTGGGAGGGTGAGCCTGGGGGGAGACCCACCCACCCACTACTGTGCAGGTGACTCCCAGGCACAGGGCTGTTGGGTTGGCCCTACTCTGCACTCACTTTCTCTGCATTGGGAGGGTGGGCCAGGGAGATACAACACAACTGTGCTGGTAGCTCCTGGACACAGGCAGGGTGGGCAGATGGGTCGGTTCTGCCCTGCCCTGCAGTCATATTGTTCTTACAGGGAGGAGGCATAGGCGTAATCTTCGTGGGGGCGGCGGGGCTTCAGCCCCCGCCGAAATTTTCAGGAAGGTGCTCAGCCTCCCCCGGGAGCCACCCTTGCTCCTAGCACAGCAATGCCTCTGGCCCAGCCCCACCCCACCCCGGGAAACTGGAAAGTCTACACCCTTGGGTGGGTGGGCCCGGGGTGGGCCTGAGACACAGCAACCCACAACTGTGTGGGTGGCTCCCAGGCCCCAGATAGGGCAGGCGCTGCCCTGCAGTCCTGTTGTCTACAGAGGGAGAGTGGACCTGGGGAGTAAGCCTCCAACCATGTGGGTGAATCCTAGGCCTGGGCAGGGGTCTGTAGTCACCTCACCTGTGGAGGAAGGGTGGGCCCGGGGAGTCAGCCACCTGCTGTGTTTGTTGCTCCTAGGGCAGGGCGGAAGGGTTGGCTCTGCTCTGCACTACAGCCATCTACTGTGCAGGTGGCTCCCAGGCCAAGGTGGAGGGGATTGGCTCTGCATTCATCTGGGAGGGGGGGTCTCTATCCCAGAGAGGTCTGCTGCAAGTTTGATGCCTCCATTCTACTAGGTAACATAACAATCTGTCCTGTCTGTTCTATGGTCCAGAACCCACACTTGACAACCTTTCCCCAGAAAGCACTTTCCTGGGGGTGCCTTCTTTGGTGTAGGGAAGTCTGCCATGAGTTTGATGCCTCTAGCTCTCACAGGGCCCATTTTATATACTCCTGAACCCGTGTCTGTCATCTCCCCCAAAAGCACTTTCCTGGGGGCACCTTGTTTGGGGGTCTGTAACTCAGACCCCCCTCCAAGTCCAACCTGCACATAACTTGTAGGGCATGTAGAGGGGCATCCCAGGGAAGTATGTGGCAAGTTTGAGGCCTCTAGCTTGCACAGGGCCCATTCTATACAATCTAGAACCTGTGCTTGACAACTCCCCAAAAATACTTTCCTGGGGCACCTTGTTTGGGGGTCTTTAACTTGGACCCCCCAAGTTCAACCTGCACATAACTTGTAGAGCATGTAGGGGTGCATCCTGTGGACATTTGCCATTAGTTTGAAGCCTCTAGCTCACACAGGGTCTGTTCTATATACTCCAGAACCTGTGCCTGACATCTCCCTGAAAAGTACTTTCCTGGAGCACTTTGGGGAGGGGGCATAACTTGGACCCCCCCAAGTACAATCTTCACCAAACTTGGCGTGTAGTTAGAGAAGAGTCAGTTGGAGATGCCCCATGATTTTGAAGTCTCTAGGACCCTGGGGGCCACCCCACCATTTCACGAACTTCCTTTCAGGTTTGTGGCACATCCCAAACCCGAACCGAGTTTTTCTGGTTTGTGCCCATACACTGGAGAAGGAAATGGCAACCCACTCCAGTATCTTTGCCAAGAAAACCCCATGGACAGTAACAAAAAGCTAAAAGACATGACGCCAGAAGATGAGCCCCTCAGGTCAGAAGGTGTCCAATATGCTACTGGGGAAGAGCAGAGGGCAAGTACAAGT